AAATGTGCGAATCTTGCCTGTGAGTAACTCAGTGCTCTTGTGGATACTGCCTGAAGCTGCAGTAGTCAAAAGCATGAGGTCACGGGTTCAAATCTCGCTCTGTGCCAAATTTTTTTAAAAATATCTTTTCGAGGACCAAATACTATTTTAGGAAATAGACGCCCGGGCTTTTATTTAAGGAAATACGGTATACAAATAAAATGTATGAATATATACCTTGTTTATTGGTTTCAGCCAGCTTTTGATGCAATAACTGGATGTATCTCTGTAGTTCAGCTTCCTTCTCTGTGGGATATTCTACTACCTGATCCATCCACCATGTTCTGGTCTTGCTGTACGATTCATACTTTTCTTGATATTTCTTACTACCGAGATCATTACCATCCAGTACTGACTGTACTATCCACTCACCAGCTTTATGAACTAAATAAAAAGAACAAGACATCCAGTTACAGAGTAACAACCCCCCCCCATCGATTATCTAACAATAAAATTACTCTTATCATACCAAATTCAACTATCATTGTTAGTCTATTAGTATCAGTGATATGTGTATTGTCTCCTCCAAAAATGTTCCATTTTAACTCAACAAACCCTCCAACAATTACTAGCCACACACAGTTTGGTGACATTGTGACTGCTGTGAGTGAGTGATCGTATCTACCAGTAACAGATTCAGGTAGAGGAATCTATAGACAATCATTGATACATTTATATAAATTACAGTCTATCTGAAATTTTTTACTACAACTTTCATTTTGCAAAAATTAGATCACACATCTCATTTCATGCCACATTCAAATATCGTATAGTGGAAAATTTTCGTAGCCCAAAAATTTCACAAATCTGTTCAAAAATCAATTTTGTGTCTTTAATTTTCATGGTTTTTTACTTTTTGGCCATCTTGAACAGTATTAAATCCATTTTCTGGATTTTATTTTTGTGAACTTTGAAAAAAAAAACACGAAATCCACGGAAATTTTGGGCCACAAAATTTTCTGCTAAACGGTAATACATGACACAATCTTATTACATAAAAATTAAATCACACAATTTTCTAAAGTATAAATTTCCAAACATGCACATTGTAATCATAGTAGCAACAGTTTCTCCAATATTAATTGCACAATGGATCTTATGCAACAAACGGTCTAATTAACGCGCACCTCTAAACTGGAGTAAGATGGCAAATTTTTTGGTAAATAGGCATGCTGAACATTTTCCTCTTTTATCGAGTCATCCTTACTCTTGGAGCCACTTTGAGCTCTCTTTTTGTTTCATCACACTCTACCTATTTCTTCTGTAAGCTTTTTGGTTGTTGTTTTGGCTTTTAAAGCAGTTTTTTGTAGGCCTATTCTCCGGCACCCTTTGGCAATTCCCATTTTGGTAAATTTTGCTTCCAGGAGCCAGGGCACTTGCCCCACCGTTGTTATCAAGACAGAAGTGTATTCACCTGAGTCCTATGACTAATTTCTATCATGAGAGTTAGTCTCAGTCCATCAGGACAAGGCACGGTGGAATAACTCACTCAGTTGTCATGTTGCAGCTGGAGTGTGGATGATATGACCATCTTTTCACTTCTTAAAACTATAGGATTGGTCTTTATTCACATATAGGAATGACTCCAAGGATCATAAGTGTGCTGGAATAGCTGTGCATCAAGTAACTAGCTGTTAATATTGACGTCTAGAATGAAGTTAAACGCTTCCATAATTATATGATTTGTAATGTTGATATAAATGTTAATTACAACAGTTGTCTTTCTTAACATCCAGACAGTTTCAAATTATTGTGAATGTACATGTATATACTCTTTATAATAAAATATGTGTAAATACAAGAGGCGTCATGTATACAAACGCAATGTAGTCATAACAGCAATAATAACTGTAGCAACAATGCCCATTATCTTTTTCATAATTATAAATATCGAATAAAACTGTCAGGAGAGGGTAAAAATGGTGACAAGCCACAAACGTGTCCTAAATGTGATGATTCCTCTCTGCAAGTACTGGATAGTGACACAGACTTTAATACAACATGAGAGGCTCCTACAGTACAAGCTGTGAATTTACAGATTAAGAATGAAAGCCAGAGAGTTCTTGCATCCCTCAACTATCCATAAAAGAGCCATTCTATAGTTTTAAGAAGTGAAAAGACGGTCATAATCATCCACACTCCAGCTGCAACATGACAACTGAGTGAGTTATTCCACCGTACCTTGTCCTAATGAACTGAGACTAACTCTGATGATAGACATTAGTCATAGGATTCAGGTGAATACACTTCTGTCTTGATAGCAACGGAGGGGCAAACGCCCTGGCTCCTGGAAGCAAAATTTACCAAAATGGGAATTGCCAAAGGGTGAGAAT